TCACGGCTGACGATGGATACCACTCCCCTCTAGCGAATGATGATGGACACCACCCGCCCTCTAGCGAATGATGATGGATACCACCCCCCTCTCGACCCCCGCTCTTCTGTAACAGACGCACGAGCCTACTGCAGGTACTTTTGTGCAACCACCACAAAAAACTATTCCACCTCCCGTTCTAGTAATTATATATCATCCCATCGGATAATCGTACCATCCCTTCCCAGCAATTACTTCTCACGTCGCTCCTTTCCCACCCATACTCCCACAAAGCGTATCCCCATCTCACAGCCACCACTGCTGCCACCAACGTTACACCCATAATCCCATCTAAGTACCAGCCAGTCTGATATCATGTGGTCAAGGTCAAATCCCCGTCCGTAGCTATTCTTCTGAAACATCAACATACATACCCTCCCTGTTATTAGTAAGGCTTAGTCTACCCCATTAGACTACTCAAGTCATCGATGACTGCATGTAGTCAAATGGTCAGCCTTTATCTACCAAAGATACACTCTCGGCTCGTAGCCAATCCCAGTCGCCATGTTAGTAAGAGGCTTACCCCATTAGACTACAAGTCAGCGCTGACTTAGTAGTCTTATGGGGTAAGCCTTAGCAACACTCCCTCCTTGCACCAGTTGGCACCCCCCCCCGCCGCCTCCGACTCGGCCCCTCCTGCAGTGCTGCTGCTGCGTGTGTGGCGGGCGCGAAGCCACACAGCGGTACCAACAGACGTAGCTGGGTCGCCTGCCAAGTAGTACTGTAGGTGTACGTGATCTCTCTGATGTCCGAAACATCGATGGTGGGAATGATCAGTGTCTCCTTTATTGGATCGTCGCCGTCCAGCAGCTGTTGCGATAAAACGTACAGGAACTCGGCCTGTGGATAATACCTGGGGTTTATCTCTGTCCTTCGCTGGTTCCCGGAAGTTTATGGGGTGAATCTCTGTCCGCCCCCCCTGCTGGGGCGCTGCCTCTTTCGTGTAGTTCCGCCCAAAGCCAAGGCAACGTCCTAATCGCTGCTATTCACAGAATTTAGACGTCGGTCGAAACGAAAATAGTGGTCTGAGTCCGAGAATACCGAGAAAAATTGTTCCGAGAAAAACTGCTCGTGTTACATGGGTTATCCGCAGTCAGAAACACGATGTCGATGGAACCATAGCACACAAACGTGGTCAAGATGCTACCGCCGTCCAGCGTAACCTTACGAGGATTGCCTCACTACGAGATCACCCGTTGGAGACCTCTTCACCGTGTGTGGCGTTGGACATGGGTGGGGGGGGGGGGTACTCATAGTCGTGCATGCCGTAGTCGTTAGACCATTGACCTCGCATCCCTACAAAGCCGGGACGGAGCACGCCGGGTTCTCACCGGACCAGGCTCTCACATCACCAAGCGCGAAGCGCCGTGAGATATCCGGCGAGTCGCATGAAGGGTGCGCTGCATCCTGCTAAGGGTTTTCGGCATCTTGTGCTTACTTCCTTGCGTACGGATGACAGCTGCGTATGAATTAATATATTTTCTGGTGCTTTCACTTCCAGAGACAGTTGTAAGCATGGGTGGGATTGGTTATTATGAACTTGGGGACTAACATGTTACCGTTCCCCCCTCTCCTATCGAAACGTCAACATGGTGCCATCGTCTTGCATCGGCCAAAAAAAGTAATAGTACATGCAACTTCTGTATGTGTTGTCGCGAACCGCCTTGCAGCTACGCGGTCGATTCAATCCACCTAAGCTGGTACCCTCAAGTACAACGGGCATAGATTATCCGAGGAAGTGAATCTATTCCCGTTGTACTTGAGCGACGTTTCGTGTGCAATCAACCTCCAATGAAGCACCCAGCGACCAGCGCCCTTCACATCAGCCAAAACATTCCACCCACAGCAAAAACTGCACATGAACTTTACCTTCCCACCAACACCACTGGCTCCTACCCCGGCTGCGTTTGTCGCGAAATCAGACCAAACGATCGCAACATGAACTAACACCATTCGACGCGCGATCGTAGAACGTTATTTCCCAAGTTTATACATGCGACAGATAAGAGTGCATGCACTTCGACTTTCTTGCGTCTACACGTCGCGCAAATGAAAGACGCCGAAGCAAACCTCACAGACACTGTCCCATTTCAACAACCTCTGAATTCTAGCATACCTGAGACAAAAATTATTGAGAAACATCCCTGCTGACCCAGGTCTTACCAATCGACCCACCCTGAAAATATTCGTACACCACTCGTGACACCGAGCCCGACGCGATTTCATAGCCCTCTAAACCTTAACGCTGGGTTTTCAAGCCCCCGTACACAAACCCAGGTGTTACTTGTCCATCCCAAGCAAAGGTCGCCAACGGATATCATTGTTCTAGGGCTTGGATCCCGATACCGGAAAAAAAAAAGCAGCAGCAAGACTTGACCGTCTGTGCGCCATCGAGGGACTCTTGAAAGGATCCTTGCCGTTTCTGGCTGTGAGCACAAATTTTCACAGCAAGAGCAACGTACGGATCAAGATGAACATAGCACGGTTACATGCTGATCCGACACCAACAACCGCACCAGAATGCAGTTGCCAAACCGGCGAGAAGCAGATCTCAGAATCCACCACGCTGATGTTTATCTTACTTACCTTAGTCTACGCTGGTTGTACGCACCTATCGTGCTATCTACATATGCATGTCTGAACACCACACGCATCACCAACACAAGCAAAATCTGATGGCGACCTCTCCGTAACCCTCCCAACACGAAGCATGTTCGAGCCGTGCTTCTGTCATACACCCCCGGCCACACCCGACAACACAGACTGCGCTGGCGCTACCGCCACGACAACCACAAAAGTCACAGGGAAAGGTTCAAAGGAAAGTGTACCCGACTCATAGATACGACAAAGGCTGCAAAGGCAAAAAAAGAAGCCACACGTTTCGTTTTGACTTCCCACCTCCGGCAGCCGATGTACACAACGCTTTCTGTTTGGCTATCTGTCTCCTCTATCGCGGTTCCCCAAAATCGTTTGATCCCGCTTACTCTAACCTCCGTAGTATCAGGAAGCTTTCTGTATACTTCGACCATTCGGTTGTATCAGGAAGCTTTCTGCATGCTTTGACCATTCTCCGCCAGCACCTTTTCCACGTGGGCCAGCATCGCCAGTTCTTGCGGAGAGCTCCCCAACGCCACCTTCAGGGGGTAAACGAAGCGTCAACGAGACAACACCGGGTTAACAGCTGCATTCATGCTCGAGAAAACACTCGGCGATGCCAGCCTGAGGAGGTCCATGGGGGGGACTCTGGAGGGCCAAGTGCTGGGCCTTCCTTCTTCCAGTCACCGCGTTGTTCCTTTGCCCCGGGTGTTCAATTCAAACATGGTGCGGGTTTCTGTTTTCGTCGATGGGAACACTGGAAACAGCACACAGAACAGCAGCATGCAGCAACAGCGGCAGTGGCACAACGATCCTGCTGTCCTCACCTCCCCTGCGCCACCGTAATGCAGAGGAAGGTGCTCGGATGGAATGACCTTGAGCATCTCGTCTCCCACATTGGCGACGGGCAACAGGTCGATCTTTTTCTTGGTCGCCTCGTTCAGCATCGGTTTCACTAGCGCGAACACCGAGTTGAAGAATGACGGCGCATTCAGGATCATAATCTGCGAACACAGTAGCAGAGCGCGACGAAAGGGGCCAAGAGTGTAAGCGCATCAATATTTACAGTTGCCGTTTTACGACACGGCATGAGTTTCCGACGTCGACGGATCCCCTGGCAGCGATGCAATGTACCACCAAAAATATCCACCACAACTCCATCATTCAACAAAAAAAAAAAACGTTCTTGAAGATAGATCCCCGACTGGGCGTCGACGCACCATACGATATTGAGTGGTTCAGAAAAAATTGGTCACGGAAGAACAACCACACGGGTGTAGCCCATGGGAAGGACATTTTATCGTACCTGGGCAAGAAAAAAGGAGGCGGCACAAACAAGGCTATAACCGACGTCCCTGCTGTGTTTTTAAGGCGATTCATTAGCCTTGTCATTCGACGTCGAGCACGCAGTAGGTGCCTACCGCAAGGTCTTGCCCCTTGAGTGACGAGCCACGATGCGGTGTCAAATCAGATATCCTTAGGTCCTGTTCACGTCTTTGATGCTATCGCGACAAGCGCGATTCACAATAGCTTTCCCTCGTTAACAAGCAAGTCGAACATGTTACACTCACGAGCAAGCGCCTGCTTCTTCTCTTGCCCCTCGGGGATGTGGACCCGCGCTCCCATCCCACCCAAAGTTCAACATGTGTGTTTAGACCACAGGGTCCAAAACGGTTCGACACTTCTACTGCATGGACTACAGCGTAGGTAGAGCGACCCGTCGCGGTGCACACAAGACACACGACAAGGTTCACCTTAAACGAGCGCTGCGGATAGTGCCTCGACATCATGCCCACGCTGGTCTTGAGGAACGCCAACGACTCGCCGACGAGGTCCCTGAACCTCACTCCCGCCAAGTCGATCACAATCGTGATGCGCTGGCTTTGCCTGGGCTGGAGCACCTGTGGCAGCCCGTACGGAGAGCAGGACAGCATAAGCAAAACGATACTGAAATGCAACCGAGGTATGAGGCGGGTCGCAGAACAATCGCAGGGCACACTACGAACGACGTCCAAAAAGGAAAACGGTCTTCTGCAGGGCTCAGTCGGTCATCCTGTCACCTTCCACAAGAACTCCATGCAGTACACGTAGTGGTCCAGCAGTTCCGACTTTGTGATGCCCAGCCTCTTGAGCTCAGCGATGTCAGACATGCCAGGTCTCTCGTAGTAAGTCACCCGCCCATCCTTGTCCGGGAGGTGAAAGCAGTGGGCGTACTTGCTCTTGATCAGCGCAAACCTGTTGTTGCGGGAGGTTCGGAGAGGACGGCAACGCTGGGGTTGAGAAATAAGGAGTTCCTTGTACGCACTGGCCGTGTAGATAAATACGGAAAAGCTTGGGGTTAGGTCGGTCAATAATGGAGCGACCAAAGGGTTGCACGACTAGGCAGAGTTGAAGGTGCAGCACACACCAACAGACCAAAGGCATGACATGAACTTCCCAAGGTACTACGACTTGCTTTTCTCGATCCGATTCCTCCGATCATGTCGCCACGAATTTCGTTGGCAAAAGGGCGAGGGAACCATGACTGAGGCACCGCTTCCAAATGTATGCGCGAAGGCTTTGAAAAGCACTCATGTGCCGTCGAGTCATGGTGAGTCCCTGACTGGATTCGCAATAACAACAACAACAACAACAACCTGCCCAAGAGAACATCCTACTCTAGAGCAATCCTCGCTTCGACCACCGCTCAAAGAATCTACGTCGTACTAGTATATCGAGGCAGGGGTAACCACAGAAGCACACCTTCTTGGACCGGTGCCTTGGACAAACACAGAAGAAATCAAAACACGGCCATTCCACCGCAGTCTTCGACATACGTATTGACAGCGTTACACACGTGATCATCCGCCCGGCGAGCAGGCAAGCCAGAAGAACGCCGAGAAGAAGCGGAAGGCGAACGATAGAGTGCGCAAAATCTCCAATGGGGAAAGCACAAGCTGAGAGTCGGGTCGTGGAACGTGTGCAGGCTCGCAAGGAGTGAGCGCAAGCGGTTGGAAAATCATGGACCGAGCAGAACAAAGCGATCTAGATGTAGTGGGGATCCAAGAGACGTGGGAATTGAAGGATGGAGGCGTGGTAAGCAAACTAGGGAAATACCGGTGGGTAGGAAGGGAAGAAAGGGCTTAGACCCGAAGAAAAGGGGGGAGGAGGGAGTCGGATTCCTGGTCAAGGAACACTTGTTTGACGTGGTGGAAGTAGTGGTGAAAACNGACGTGGTAAGCAAACTAGGGAAATACCGGTGGGTAGGGAAGGCAAGAAAGGGCTTAGACCCGAAGAAAAGGGGGGAGGGGGGAGTCGGATTCCTGGTCAAGGAACACTTGTTTGACGTGGTGGAAGTAGTGGTGAAAACGGAGTTCGAGGAAAGATACCTGGGGAGCGGGGTGAGAAAGATTTGTTTCTAGGGAACATATACGTCCCACCGGCGTCGAAGAAAGTCGCAAGCAAGGCGCAAGGGAAGATGTCCAGAGGTTCAGTAGGATTCCAGAGGTTCAGTAGGAAGGGAGAAGTTGTCATGGTGGGCGATTTCAACTCCAGAGTAGGGAAAGCTTCCAGTAGAGGACAGGCGATCGGGCAGCACGGAGAAGACAAAGTGACAACGGAGTGAGGATGCTTGAGT